TGTATTAGCAATTGTAAACCACATAACAAATCAAAATAAAGAAGCATTTTACTACTAGGCGGATTGGACTTGGCATCAACGCATCGAAGACGAAATACATGAGAGGAAAAGGTTCTAGGAAAGACAATGTTAGCCTCTCACCCCGAGTTCGGATTGACGGTGTCGAACTCGATTTAGTCGAGTTTGGGCTCACCGCTGACCGCCGAAAATGATAACAGCAGAGAAATTTCTAAGACGCATTATGGCAGGGAATCGTGCCTTCTTTGGACTCCGGAGGACGGAGCGACCGGAGCGGTCGAATAAAATTCACCGCCGCACGAAGTTGACTATCTAAAAGCCACTGATTAGACCGGTGGTCCTCTAGGGCCACGAGACCTGGACTATGCTCGTGGATGACCAACGTCCCATGGGCGTTTTCGAATGGAAGGTGTTGCGTGCCATCTACGGTGGAGTGCAGATGGATGACGGAACATGGAGGAGGCAAATGAACCATGAATTGCACCTGCTGTTGAGAGAACCATCCATTGTTTACATTGCAAAAAATGGGCGACTACGGTGGGCTGGGCACGTCGTAAGCTTAGTCCAAACATGTATAAATTTTGGTTGTATCACAGACTTGTAGATCGATTTAAAATTGAATAATACTTTTAAACCTACCAAGTTTTAGCAATGTTCCTTGCGTTTGAAGGGACACGAATCGTCATTCCATTTCTCATTAAATTAGCTTTACCACTTCAACATTTCCTCAAGCCCACATCTGGCGGTCTACTTCGTGTGCGAAGCAGGCTTGATGAAACTACTCAAACTCACTGGATGTTTCATGGTGTATTCAGATCTGAACCTAAGAGGAAGAGGTGACAATTGGCTTCTTCCTCTTTTATTTCTATCTCTATCTCTATCTTTATCTATCTCTATCTCTATCTTACGCACATGAAATCGGCCAATCAGGAGCTGGTTCACGTTTGACAGAAAAGTGGTTCATTTTCGCCCCCCTATTGTCACCTCTTCTCTTAGATCTGAACGTGCATTAGCGGAGCGGGGCAAAATTTTCGTTGGAATGAGAGAGGCTACTAGTACTTCTCTTCCTCTCATACCTTCACTTAATCTCGCCCCGCGCGTGAAATATCGCTCAGAACCGAATCCACCTTTATAATGATCTTGCCCTGCGAGTTTCGAACAAAAGCTCCCCGAGAGAGAGGGAGAGCAAACTCAAGCGAGATCATTATTTGATGTGAGGTGCGCATATCAAGCTGAACATTGCATTAGGTCCTAAGTAAGATTCTCTTCGTCGACTTTCTCTTTGTATCTCCACGGCCATGTAAAGCCATTCCCAGGTATTTTCAGAACTCGGATCGATAAAAGAAGTTTTTGTCTAGCATCCAGGCTTGCCTAAACTCCTCGAACTCAGATTATGCCGTAGAGATGCTCATTCATCGTGAGCTAGTTCATCCCTCACATATAAAGAGCCAAGGTGTCAAATCCAAAGAGCGCAAAAGAGCTCGAGCTCAGATTGATGCTCAAGCTGGACTTCCACAAACACGCATCACGATGAGTGATGCGGGGTTCGTTCTTGAGTGAGGCGTGATTTACATCGGCTCTGCTCACCAAACAACATTTTGAACTTCGGGATGAACTCGGTGAAACTGTAAATCTAGAGTAACATTTGAAATGGGCCTATGTCCAAAACGTAAACAAACCAGAAAATGAATTTTAAATTTTGGCCGCCTCTATTCAATTCATATTTAAGAAAATTGAAGTATTTTAGGCATTTATATTATTCACAATAACAATAGTAACTGTATCTCAGTATACAACATCCAAAATATGCGAAAACCTTTCAAAAATATATGAAAATCGATAACAATATAATTTCATAAATTAATAAGCCTTTTTTGTGAATCTTTCAATGGATTCGCCCTTTTTGTTAAGCCGTTGTGCTTGTCATCAGAAATGGTAGGCCCTTTGCTAAGCCTTTTCACAACGTCAAATAAATTCAAAACAAATCATCGGCCCTGCCTCAAGCAGTTTGGCCTAGCTTTGGTTTGAAATTTTTCAATCATCGGCCCTTCTACGTCACTAGGTTTAACAATGAAATGAAATAAATGAATGGTTGGCCGTTTTAGCGTGCGGGCCTATAAATGAATCGAAAAATTTCGTTGATCGGCCGTTTCGAAAATCGAGTTATTTTTAATGATTTTTCTCGATTATGCGGAACTTTCTTACACGATTAGTAGCTATCAAGCGGTGCTAAAGAATGGTATCAAAACCCGATTTGTTTACGTTTTGGACATAGGCCCATTTCAAATGTTACTCTAGAAATATAGAGCTTCGTTATGCATTCGGAGAGAGCACGCACGGCCTTTGATTTATGCACGGTTTTTCCATTCAATATTATGATACACAACAATACTATACTAATACTATAGGATCATTCCCAGAGAACGTAACGTTTTGAGAGATTGATGTTTTTTTAACTCGCGGACCACTTTTTGGATTACTCAAACTCAGTCACAAAAATCTTTGATCATTTTTTCCGCTAAATGCTTTATGAGTGCATAAACGAAATTATATTTCTGACCTAGAATGTACGAGGGAAAAACTAGTAAAAGCACTAATTACTCCGTTTATGGATTATCCCTTGGTGCTGTCTTCGTATTCTCCTGTTGCCTTTTAACATGTTCATTCAATCAATTCGCTACCCTCGCTGCACACACGGTAGCTCGGAAATCTTTCTGGACCAACAATTGAAATAGGCAGAACAACCAAACGTAAGAAATGGCTTTAAACACAAACTTCTTGAGAATCAAAACACTACCACGTAAACTAAAATTTCCAAAGGAAGTTTACTCTATCAGATGATGGCGTTAGATTGTTTGGATGTGCTTTGATTTTCGAAGAATTTATGTTTAAAGCCATTGTTTACATTTTGTTGTTCCGCCTATTTCAATTGTTGGTCTAGCGTTGTTTAAATCAGGTGGAGTCTGCATCGATTTATTCATAACCTTCAGTTGGTTGCAAGATGTCGCAGAAACGCATTGCCCCAGCTATGCTCAACTTAACAGAAAACGGCCCGAAAATGACACAACCGGCGGAACCCCACTGTATCAACTTCACCCCGACGGGTCCCCGCATACATAAATACGAAAAAATGCAAAATACACATTTTCAAGTCGGGTAGATGAATCGAAAATACTCAAGTTGACAGCCCCTCGCCGAAAATAAGCAGGGATTTAGATGCCCTGCCCGAAGATCTTTTTTATTTTCATTTCTTTGCAATCCGTTTTATTTTGCTTGACCCTGCACTCAAATACTAAAATAATTTCAAAATATGTTTATTTTCTTCGCATAGCTGTCAAACCAAACAAAAACCAATACATTTATTTTCAACACGAATATATAGAATAGAATATAGACAGTTACCCTATGAATCCATTTCCCACTTTTGCGTGACGGAATGTATGCATACGTTCCATAATGTTTTTTTTTTTCATTTCTTGGTTGTGCACTTCTTTCTCGAATACAATACAAAATCACTCATTCATGCGCTCTGGGAGAAGCCATCAAGAGCCATGCTCTCTACGAATACATCACGAAGCTCCAAGTTTACTGCTTTGCGCGAGCGCATCACGAAGTTAAAATTTCTGCTCGGCAGGCAGAGTCGATGTACACCCGAGAACGAGCTCCGCATCCCTCACAAAGATGCGGGTTGGCAAGAGCCCAGCTTGAGCATCAAGTATAGCTCCGTGAGAGCAAAATATTTCATCATCAAAATATGCTGGAGCTCAGCTTATTGATGACTCTTGATGGAGCTTTTGGCAAGCCTGCTAGCATCTAATACAACAAACACAACATGAAACGATTATGAGCACAAGTTATCAACGAAAGAGAAAGTCGACGAAGAGAATTGATCAATGTTACTTAGGACCTAATGCAATGTTCAGCTTGATATCAAACACTTTTAATGACACTTTTTTTTTAATCTACCAAAAACATGGTGGTATTAAAAATGTTGTACCCATTTTGCATGAGGGCAATATTGAAAAAAATGCAAATCGCGTAAAACAAATTGAGTGTATGTATATAATAATCTGGCCACCGGCGGAATTTCAGCTCACACGGGCGGATTACTATGGCTGCCTAAGGATTGCCTACTAAAAAAATGTATGCACATTATCAGCTGTAACTAAATTTTCTAACGAAATTCTTAAATTCTGAGTTCTGAGCAAGATTGTTAGCCATAACGAAAAAATCACGGATCTCTTTCAGAAAATTACCATTTTCTCGGTGAATCCGAATTTCTGCAAAGACCAACCACACGAAAGTAGATATTCATACCTTTCAAAAAGTGGCTCAATCTTAAAATTTGGGAACCAAATTGCCGAGACCCAGTTATGTCAACATGAAAACATGATCATGATTCATTCAAAGTGTTTTTATGTTACTTCATACACGAAGTTAGCGTTTTCAGAGTTGGTTGGAAATGCTAACATGAAGCTTTAGTGTGATAATTTATTAGCTAGAGAATGATCTTTAGAAGAGGGTAGGTGGATAGTTCCGTTAGAGTACGGCAGTATGAAAATTGAATAGAAGTTGAAAATTAGCGAAGGGCCATTAATGCGACAGTTTTCTTTTGCCTAACCCGTACGATGTACGCGGAGACTTGAAGTATGTCTTCAAGTCTACAGGCAAAAGATGTGCGTCCTCCTTCTGCTCTATCCACCTACCCTCTTCTAAAGATCATTCTCTAGCTAATAAATTATCACACTAAAGCTTCATGTTAGCATTTCCAACCAACTATGAACATGATTGTATGAGAATCCGTAATTCTGTTTGGTTTTGGAGATCTAGCTCTTCGATATGTTCATGCAAATGACATTTCATAATGTTGCTTAAGAAATTATATGGTGACGTTAGACAGATGATTTAGTGATGAGGTCATTAATGACCCCGTGGGGTCGAATCGGTTAAAGCAAACCCTTAGCTAGTAGACCGACACTTACCATCTTTGGAAGACTTCTCGACAAACTCAATTTCGTCATTCTTGTTGAAGAGAGTCACATCCGTAGTCACCGTGTTTCCAAGGAAATTGTGCAGGCTAACCTGTATCAGTGCCACCTCTCCGCGCTTGATCGAGTACGGTAGATGGGCTATCATATAGAACGATTTGCCCACCGTAAATTTCCGCGGGTACTTCATTATTCCCAGCCCTCGATTGGGACTGAGTGCGAACCCTGACACATACCAAGAGGTGATCGTATCCGGTACTAAATCTTCAATCTCGAACGTATCTTTGTTGTTCATGCTTAAGTTTCTCCACAGCCAAGTTTCCGGAAAATCTAACCTCAGCAGGACGGGTTTTTTGACCGTTCTCTGTCCGAATGGCTGGTAGAATGGGGATCGTTTGGCACGACTTGAACCAACTAGAATGAGGAGGAATAATTTAAATGATACTTTGGTCTGTGGCACATTCTTCCATCATACTTACAGGCATCAACAACAGAACCGCTTCTAAAAAATAGCCCAATCGACTGAAAGGAATTGGATTTAGATTGTTATTTAAAATTCAGGCCATACTTATCGGTGAAATTTACATCAAACCAATCCAGTGCATTATCGTTTCCATTGCCATTGTACTGATCCAGATCGTCAAGTATACCTTGCATGGTGAGGCCATATTCAGTGTGTCCCAGTAGCAGCGCACTTTGATCGATCGCTTGGAAGACAACAATTGAGTCAGTCGGGGCCTTACCTTCGACGTAAATATCCTGATCCGGTCGGTACGATTCATCGTCCAGCTTGAATTCAAACTTGAATCGAACGGTTAGTTGGTATTTTGTTTGTCTTGAATTTGAATATAATTCATTTGATGCATCTTACGTCATTAGCGAATGATACGAAATCCAAATCAAAATAGTCATTTATAAATTGCCCTTCTTTGGTAAAGAAAACCACCAGCTTTGCCTTCGGTGCCATTGCTTCTGTGAGATGCAATTTCAAGGCGTAGGTTTTTTTCTTTGGAGATTTTATGTGGCCAAAATTGACGATGCTGCCTCTAGTCGCAACAAAGTACGTAAACTGCACGAACGGCTCGTTGGAACTGATGGTAAATGACGTTGATCTCCCAACAATGATCCTGAAATGAAGGATGCGATTCTTTGAACAATTGGAATATCGGAAGCAAATATCCAGAGTTACCTTTGCTTTGAATGTATTTGAAGATATTGCGTACTGCTGCTTTCCAAACCTTCGATAGTTCCGATGCCGTCGTATTCTACTGAGTCGATTTCAGCCTGTAGATAAACGAATCAAAGTTAAATTTATTGACTTCAATCTACATTTAGTATTTGATGCCAGAAACTAACCGATACAGTAATATTCTCAACTTCATCTGGCGTTGGGATGACGAAGGAAGCCAGACCTTGACCATCCAGTGGCGCCGATTTTTCCTCACCGTCGACGAAGATTTTTACCGTTTTTCCTTGTTCCAAAGGTAATCCAGTGTGATCTTTGACCGATATTTTGAAATGATATGGCGCTCCCGGACGGTAATAAAAAGAAGGTTTAATCAACGATATCTTATATGGGTTCAAATACACGGGAATCTGCTGCGTAACGTTAACTGTGGCATCTAAACAATAACAGAAAAAAATATTTTGCACACTCTGCTGCAATTCAATAATGCTTATAAACGGCTTACTTGTGATAGAATCCTTTACAGTGACTGTCACATTAACCAATGTGTGATCTTTGGTCTCTTCCACTTCTAATTCTTCCTTGAGCTGAAATTTAACTACAGTATTCCCGTTAATTTTTCCGACAGTTGTATGGTCTGCTCTTTTGCTGTATTTGTACAAATAAAGATTCGCTATAACCTGCCCTTCGACACGCTGCCCGAAAGTGTAGTGTGATTCTACGTTCAGGCTTATCTCTCTGTCTTTGGTCAGCAGGATCTTCGACGGCCAGACTTTAACGGCAAACTTGGGTAGTACATACTCCATGACTTCAAAAGGTTGTACTTTCTCATTGAGAATGGCATTCTATGGCAAAGAGATAACAAATATAAGTAAACAAATTTCAAGTCAAAATTGTTTAGTGGCAAAGTGTTCCTAATTATGGAGAGGATAGAGATTAGGGTGGGTCACCGTTGTATGTATGAGATACAACTGAGCAAAATTTGGGGACTTGGTGATTGGTTGTAACCCGGATTTCCGCATTGCGTTTGAAATTTGAATGGAAATTAGTGTGGGAAAACATACTTTGTTGCATTTCCATCCTCGGAGACCACAATTTTGCTTAAATCATGCAATCAACCATGTACAAATATAATCCAGAAAGTGCCTAACAACATTGCGCAAGGATGTATGGTGCTAATGGAAATGTTCCTAATCTTATCGATTTGGTATGATCAGATGATTTATTCAAAAACAAATACTCTATCTCATAAGCGTAGTTAGAGAGGGGGCTAACTATACCCCCGCTCCCTCACTCATATCCCAACAAACAATTCACAGTCACAAATAAGCATACACATTGAATAAATGCTGTATAACAGTGTACAAAGCTGAATAAAACAGGATGTCGAATTATGTGCTGAAAAAAGCTCATTGAGATCGATAGATGCGCCTTTATTCCGCCGTTTGCTCTATTATGATTAATTTACTTATTAAAAGCTTTATAAACGTTGACTGTCTTCCTGATTCAGAACCAGAAGTTTAATTTAATAACAAACTGAATAAGTGTAATTTGCACATACATTGTCGCTTTAATTCGACTGTTTTCAATTGCTTTAATAAAATGCTTTATAAGACGTCTTATAAATGTTTTCTAGCTCCATTATTAGATTGCATTGCATTGCTTTACAATATTGCTGTATAAAGGTGAATACAGTAGCAATATAGCTCTTATACAACTATGCGTTCATTTTTCAATTGAATGCTTTGTAAATGCTTTATAAACGACAAATTAGATTCATTATTCCACAACACTGCCCAACAAACAATTCAGAGTCACAAATAAGCATATAGATTGAATAAATGCTTTATAACAGTTTACAATGCTGAATAAAACGGGTTGTCAAATTATGTGCTCAGAAAACCTCATTGAGATCGATGATGCGCCTTTATTCCGCTGATTGCTCTGATTTGATTAATATACTTATTAAAATCTATACAAATGATGACTGTCTTCCTGATTCAACACCAGAAGCTTGATCTAATAACATACTGAATAAGTGTAATTTGCACATCCAGTGACGCTTTAATTCGATTGTTTTAAATTGATTTAATAACATGCTTTATTATACGTCTAATAATTGTTTTCTAGCTCCATTATTAGATTCCATTGCATTGCTTAACAATATTGCTGAATGAAGGTGAATTCAGTCAGCAGAATAGCTCTTATATCCCAAGTAGCATTTCTTGTTTTATTGCACTCTATTAGTGGTTATTGAGATCAATTTCATAAAACCGCCAATAAAATTAATAGCTCCAGCACAACCTTTTGATAACCGCTATAAGATCGTCATACAGCTTAGTGGACCACTCTTGATAAGGTTTATAAAGCATGTTTGAGAATCACAATAAAGCTGTCTTAAAACCTTTTGTCAGGAAGCCTCATACTCTGCAAAAGGTTCTCATAGCCTCTATAAGAGTAATATTGTATCCAAGCAGTTTTATTACGCTTTGGTAAAAATCAGTTATAAAGCCAATTTAATGTGTATTGGCTTCAAAGCAACCGCCATAAATTAGCTTGTTGTTGTTCTGTTCTGCTGAAACTTTTTTTTCCAACTGGAAATCTTTAAAAATAGGTTTGAGTGTTGGTGTCAAGATCACCATGCAATCAATTTTGTTTCATGGCGACATTGGTGAAAATCTTAAAGAAAATATATTGCTTTTTAGAAGTTCCAAAACATATGCGCTTGAAATGTTATCGTGTATATTGAGATAATATGAGCGTTAAATAAATGCGCCTCCAAAATAATTCAAGTTAACAAAAAAGATTGTTTCAGAAATCAAATGAATTTGATGGAATCACCTTAATTTTACAGAAAATAGATCTCAATACATAAATTCATACCAATGCAAACTGGAAATCATTTCGTATCTCTTATTTAGCCATTATTTTATTGAAATTTCTTGGATTTTATTCCAAGGCTAATGGCATTTTCATAATGACAATATGGCGACAGAGGACAGCAGGCAAGAAAAACACCAAGCGCAATTTCTCAAAATGTCTAATGCTTACATTGCACACTGGGTCAGGAATGCAACCTAGCGGAGCAAAATTAATAACTCCGAAACGAAGCATTTCCGCGACTTGGTGTCTTCGGCAAAATTTCTCGTCATAATAAGGACCATCTATTGACATAAACAAATAGTTCAAAACTCTTCCGCAAAGATGGTGCCACAATCTAACTTCTTTCTCTGACGTTTTGTAGACTTGATGTCTTTGGCAAAGTTGTTTATCTTGACAAAATCTCTTTCAAAGACGTTAAATTTCCACTGTCTACTGGTTCCAAGTTATATGAAGTTAAAGAAAAAAAATGTTGAAAATATGGTTTTTTTTTTCTGTTTCGGTTTTTTTGCTTACAGCTTTATAATGTTATATTTTTCTCTTATGCAAATACATTAAATAAATAGCTTTTGTGAAGAAACATACTGGATTAAGCTTCAAATTTCAAAGACATTGTTGAAAAAACGAGAAAAAAAAACACAATTTTTGAACATTAATGTCTCCTAAAGCGCAAAAAATCGCAACCTGACATTTTCAGCAAAAATTAAGCAATACTCGATAAACAAAATATCAAAATTTGAGAGAGGTATATTTTGGTGTTTTGTAGATTTCTTTATTTTAATGGAACATTATTTTTTTTCTATAACTATTTGTTTATGTCAATAGATGTGGGGCCTCATAGCCTAGTCAATAAAGGCACGGTATTATCAAACCGGAGGCGGCGGGTTCGATTCCCAGTCCGGTCGAGGGAATCTTTCGGATTGGAAATAGGCATAGAGTATCATTGTGCTTGCCACACGATATACAAATTCATGCATTGGTATTGGCATCGAAAGCTCTCAATTAATAACTGTGGAAGTGCATTTAGAACACTAAGTTGAGAGCACGCAATAAGCTAATATGTACTATGTAATAAGCTTAAAATGCTAATAAGAAGAAAAAGTTTTGTCAAAAGATGGTCCTTATTATGACGAGAAATTTTGCCGAAGACACCAAGTCGCGGAAATGCTTCGGAGTTATTAATTTTGCTCCGCTAGGTTGCATTCCTGGCTCAGTGTGCATGGGATGAAAGCAGAACAGAAAAGCATAATGCTTGATTTTATTACGAGAACTATTTTTTTTTACAAGAGCAATTCAAGCTGAACTTTGCATTAGGTCCTAAGTAACATTGATCGATTCTCTTCCTCGACTTTCTCTTTCGTTAATAACTTATTCACAGAACCGTTTCTTGATGTGTTTGTCGTATTGGATGCTAGATAAAAGCTTCTTTTATCGATTTATGTGCTGAAAATACCTGGGAATGTCTTTACATGACCGTGGGGATGCAAAGAGAAAGTTTACGAAGCGAATCTGTCAATATTACTTAGGACCTAATGCAATGTTCAGCTTGAATTCATTTTTTTATTTGAGGGCAAATGTATATTCCTATTCTACGGGTGCAACCGATGAATTTTACAAACATTTAGAAAAGTTTTGAATGGTACATTAACCATTATGAAACGTTATGCGTGATTTCAACCTTTTTGCCCTAGGACTGTCACCATTCCATGTATTTCGACCAAGATTCGACCGTGTCACCCCATGTATATGCGAGCGAGAACGGAAGAATCATGGAGATTGCTGACGTTTTTCTTACGCACACTACGCCCATTTCTGACAAGTTGCAACTGAATGCTTATAATTGTTTTAAAATAACTGTGTCATGGCCAACTAGTTTTATCATAGAGGTAACTCTAAGACCACTGCATCCCGAAGAAAATCATTATTATTTTTGGCTCACTCAGTACCAGAACAACGTTCCCAAGCAGTCCCAAGCTATTTCACTCACCCCTGCATGTTCTGCATGAATCCACACACCCCTGATGTTATCTGTCAAACTTTCATAGCGAATCAAAACAAACATAGTGTAGTAATAGAATTTCAACTAGAATAGGGTACGTTAATCGTTTGCTTGGGACCAATAGGCTACTAAAGTGGTGAGCCAATTTAAAATCGTTAGTTTCGTATTGATTGTTGGTTTTATTGCGCTTACTTATAAAGCAACGAAAAAATTTATTTTTTGGTTTTATAAGGGCAATTCATATTACTTTTTTGTATACTTCAAAGCAATTATAAAACCTTTCATAAGTGAAAATAGCATAAGCATCAGTTGGTTTTTTAATTAGCTTTATAGGGGTTTTGTAGATAGCTATAAGAATGTTTCATGACTTGCATTGTATATGACCGTGATAAAGCTGTAGGTAATGGTTGTAGCTGCAATAAAACCTTTATAAATTTTGAATATAGCCAAGCAGCTCTAGATTTGTTACTTGGGATACCACTATGCGTCCATGTTTTAATTTCATGCTTTGTAAATGCTTTACAAACGGCGTATTCATTCGTTATTCCACAATACTGCTTCAGGCTAACAACAAAACGAAATTGGTAGCATATTTTCTACGCCTAATTGATTTAAATCGTAATCATAGATCGCATCACTCACGACAACCAATTCATAGATCTCTCGAAAAGAATAGCATCCTTTCCATCGAAATTAGAGAGATGGAGAGGTAACGTTGGTCTCATGTTAAACAACTATGAAGGAATTAATCATTCTCACATCTCCTTGAATTAGCTAGAGTTACGGCTGGGAGTGCTGATAGGTTTTCAGATTCAAGCTTTTATTACTTATTTAGCTGCCCATATGATGTATTCTAGGATAGCTCAGATGGCAAGGCACGCGGCTGGTGATCGGAAGGTCATGGTTCGAACCCTATCTAACGACATGTGTGTATGTATGTATGTATGTAATAAATTTTCTAGGATC